TTTGGGGTATACTGGGGTTTGGAACTCAGGTCTCCGAGCTTTCTAGGTAGGTACTCTACCACCTGAGTTGTGCTTTCAGACTGGCTCATATTTTATATTATTTATCTCTTTATTGATAGTCTCTATTTGGTATGACAGCAAATGGATGTCACTATACCTTCCTTTACTTCTTTAATTGTTACCAGAGTTCTAGGCCAGAGGCCCAACACATTAGGTCTGGGCCACTCATTCCAGTAAATGAAACAGAGAAGTAATGGTGGAAAGGCAGGAAAGGAATTCAGTCAACATGGCCATGTTGGGAAGATGAAGGTGACTGAATATCTCAGCCTGTCTTCTGGGGGTACTGCTATGAGCTTTAGGTTAACTAAAGGAATAACTGGGACAGAGGTGAGAGGTATGCATAATTAAGCAGTCTTGGTCAAATGGTGGTCAAACTGATCAACTCAGTTCTGGTTCTGCAAGGTAGCTCTGGAAAGTCCTTACCACTTGTGGGGACAATCTGACTCCCATGAGATGATTACTCCTGCTTGGGGGGTGGGGGAAAACCTCAGTTTCCATCATGAGTAATTGCTACCACTTTGGGAGAGTGATGTCATCATGAGGTGATCTATGTGCAAGACTCCACTGTTTTTGGAATCCAAGTTGACTGTAGGCTTAGGACATTGACTAGAGACTTTCAGGTGCCTTTTTGGGGGTCTGGAACAGAACATAATAAAAGATGGAAATAAAATACCTTAGTTACTATTACTTTGTGCATTTAATCTTGAGAGGGGATGAAATAGGTTGAGTAAATTTAGGGCTACTCAGTCTTGTATCATGTTTTTAGACAGACTCACTTTAAGTGATTAACATGCCTAAGTGCAGAGCTGAGCAGGAATCTGACCCAGAGTAAAGGGGGCAGATACAAAATGAAGTCAGAGATGCCAAGCTGTGTCCTGCTTTTAGCTACCATAAGAAGAAGCAACTGAAGTCAGTTTTTTAACAAAAGCAGCTTTTAAGTCCTTGTTATATAATCATACTTTTTTTTTTAGTTCTATGAACATATTTATGGTGGCTATGTTTAATTCTTTTTTTAAAGAATAGATGCAACATCTGGTCATTCTCATAGGGTTTGAACTCAGGGCCTACATCTTGAGCCACTTCACCACTCCATTTTTTTGTGATGGGGTTTTTTGAGGTAGGGTCTTCCCAAAGTATTTGCCAGGCTGGCTTCAAACTGTAATCCCGCTCTCTGCCTTCCGAATGGCTAGGATTATAGGTGTGAACCACTGTCGGCGCCCGGCCTCACAGGTAGTTTCTGTTGCCTGTTTATTTGTACACCCCTCACCCTGTGTAGGGATAATACTCTCCTGTTTCTTTACATGCGTAGTAAAGAAACTATTTTGTTGTTTTGTTGGAAGCTGGGCATTTAAAATAATACACGGAACAACTTTCAGCATTTGTCTTTCTTCTACACTGCTAGGCTTGTTAGTACTTCAGACCTACTGTGGTTTGGCTTCTGACTTTTCCACTTTATGACAGCGTGGAAATGATGCATATTCGGTAGAAATTGTACTGAGTTTTGAATTTTTCCTTTGCCTGGCCTAGTAACTGGTAGTATGATATTCTGCGGGATGCTGAGCAGTAGCAATGAGGCTAACAGAGTAAACAGCTGGTACTCTGTAGTGCTGTGTTGCATACAATGATGTTCAATAGATTAGCGATAGTAAGTGAATTTTCAATTTATATCTTCAGTTTTTTCCCTTGTTCCATGGGGATTGGTTCCAGAGCCCCCTGCAGGTATCAACATCCATGGCTGCTCAAGTCTCTTATATACTATATGGCATATATATATATATATATATATATATATATATGTATATACATATATCTACAATACTACATTATATAACCTACATTCTCTGGCTTATTTGATTTATTTATTATTTTGGAGGGCAGATATTGGGGTTTGAACTCAGGGCTTCATTCTTGCTAGGCAGGTGCTCTACCACTTGAGCCACTCTGCCAGTCCTTTCTTGTGTTGAATATTTTTTGAGATAGGCTCTCATGAACTATTTGCCTGAGCTGGCCTTGAACCGCAATCCTCCTGATCTCTGTCTCCCCAATAGCTAGGATCACAGGCGTCAGCCACCAGCACCTGGCTCAGCTGGCATATTTTAAATAACCTCAGGATTACTTATAATACCAAATACAATGTAAATACTACATAAATAATAATACTGCATTGTTTAGAGAATAATGGTAAGGAAAAAAAGTCTGTATACCTTTAGTATAGACACAGTTTCTTTTTTCCTAATACTTATAGTTCAAGGTTAGTTGAGTCCACAGAAATATAATCCTGGCGGGTACTGAGAGCCCACTGTGTCTTGAATTTCTTTGCAATTGCCTGTTACACCAATCTCCATCATTTTTTAGAGCACCCTTTATCATGAACTTGTCCTTGCTCTATTGCAAATGCAGTAGGTTCCTTATGGAATAGATTAAGTGTTATCTGTTTTTTGGACTGCTTAACCCCCAGGCATAATCTCTGAGCCAAGGTTCCAGACTAGCAGGTAGACCAATAGCAGGCTTCTATCTGAATCACATCTCAGTTTCTTCTCAGCTGCCACTCTAGGAGCTGGGGTAAAGGTATCATATATAACAGGTACTCAGTAATTGATCTGTTTTGATTTTGGTGGTACTGGGGTTTGAACTGAGGGCCTTATGCTTGCTAGGCACCTTACCACTTGAGCCACTCTGCCAGCCCCTCAAGTAATTGTTTTTGCTAAAAAGCATTGACTCGGACTGGAGGTGTGGCTCAAGTGGTAGAGTGCCTGCTTTGCAAGCGCAAAACCCTGAGTTCAAACTCCAGTCCCACCAAAAAAAAAACAAAAAAGCATTGACTCTTCACCTGGGCCTGCAAATACTCTGCCTCCATTTTGTGTCTGTCTTCATTGCTCTGAGCCACTCTCTCCTGAAGCTACCATGGATTCCAGGAAGATGGGACTGATGGATAAACATTTTGACCATTGGACCACGTCTTCAAAATTATGCATATCTCTCATTCCCTGCCTAACTGTTCCTCTATAAACTTAAAGTTCATATCAGCACCCTGAAGAAGAGATGCTCACTTTCCCTCTTCCCGTGCATGGTTAGCATGTTATAGCTCTCCTTTCTCTGCTCTTCACCACTACCTGTCTTTTTAATAGGCCCATTGGGGCAAGTGGCCAGACCTAACATGTTGGAGCCCTGGAGTTGGACCACTAGCCTAGGACTCCAGCTACAACCACAACCTCAGTATTCTTAGCCTAGGGTAAAGCCTCTGTTCCATTAGTTGGGGCTAGATGAAAGAGGGGGTCCCCCACTTCTCAACCACACTCACTCAGAACATAGCCTCGGTCCCAGGTAGCTAGAACAAGGATGAGAAATGCTGATATTCTGCTCCTCTGACTGGAGGCTGTGGGAGAGGAGGTTTTGAGTTCTAGGCTGCAGTCATAAGGAATGGAGTCTCCCTTGCTGAGCTGAGGGGGATGGGAAGGAGAGATATTGGTTCACACATCACAGACTAGGGATTTCTTATGGATAGATTTCCATAGATTGCTTTTGAATAGATGTTTCTTCATTTGCTGTTTACCCTCAGGACCATTTCCAGAGGATTTCAATGTCTGTTTGTGCTTTTAAAAATAATTTGCACCAGTTTCACTCAGGGTTGTCACCAGGGCTGAGTGCAGGCCTTAGAGCGGGAGTGGGCAGGGTAGCTCTATGTGTGTAATCACATTTCGAAAAGAGATTTCCCTGATAGAACAGGGGAATGCTCTACCTGATTTTCCAGGTCCACCATGGCTCCCCTGCCACCACCCCCACATCCAGGAACTTGGAGTGATGATGAGATGAATCTCAAAGGAGGCAAGGCAAGGCAGCAGGCCAACAGGGGTTTATTTAACACAAAGGAAGACAAAGCAGGGTGCGAGGAAAGAGGGGTAGAGGCTAGCAGCACCTTCTGACAAGGCTGTCAGAAAGTTGGAACCAAGGGCTCAATGGGGCCTTCATCCCAGTGTATTCTGTCCTCTAACTGGGTGGGGGTTTCCAGTTCAGAACCGGTCACCAGGATGTATGGTTAGCTAGCAACTTCACAAATATCCTGTTTTGATAGGATATTCCACTCAAGCCTGGAGACAAAGGATCTGGGTTGGCCTTACAAAGGTTCTTCTGTTCTCCACAGTTCTTTCTTTATTTTTAAGGTAGTCTTCCTGGCTACAGATTTACAGAAGCAAGTCTTTTCTATCCCCAGACCTAATTACTCTTTTGGGGTAGCATGTCTCATTTAACATTTAAAAGAGAAGTGAGGGTGATAGCAGAAATCCAGGCCTGTACATTTTTTAACAGTACAATCAGTTTTCTTACTGCTTTAGCGATTTTTCAGGTTTATTTTCTGGTTCTGTCTCAGCTCCTCAACCAGACTTACTTTTTGATGTCTTCTAATTTCTCTGTCACCTTACCCTACCTATCCTCCTTCAGGGTGGGTCAGCCCAGTTCTTCACAGTCTGTAAACCCAGTCTCTCAGTATTAATCTTTCAACTTTCCTGTAAATCCCCGCTCTCCCCATGCTGGGTTGGAACCCAGGGCCTCACACATGCTAAGTAGGCAGGCACTCTACCACTAAGCTACACTTGCAGCCAAAAGTTAAGAAAATCTTAAGAGTTGAGGATATAACTCAGTGGTAAATTGCTTGCCTGGTAGGCACAAAACCTCGGGTTGGATCACCTACATCCACAAAATGTTACCAAAAAAAGGTAAATCACAAAGTAGTTTTTAGGAATAAACAGATTAAAACATAAAGCACGTTCACTTTTGCCACTTATTCCCACACACAACGCTCACAAAACACCTAGAACTTCTTTACGTATCCAATATGGTTCCCTGCATACTCAGCCAGTTGTAGAAGCTATAAACAGGAAACAGCTGGTTGGCTGTCTCGCGGATATTTCCACTCAAAAGGACTCCGGGGGGGCTGCTGAGTGGGGTCTCTGAGCCTAACACAGAGATCGAGGGGTTAGACTTGTGCTAAGTGAAGGCTAGAGCATGCCAGTGACTAGCGCGGGCCTCGGGAGTGGGAGTTGGAGTGGGCAGGGTAAAGCGACGCGTGCACTCGCAAGCACACGTCCGCTCTCCGGCTTTCGGTTTCTTTGCCTCCCTCCATCTTGCTGCGCGATTCGGGTCTGGGGAGCGAAGTCCCACCGATCGGAAGGAAGGAGAGCGCCTGTTTGGGGCAGGTCAGTACGCGTACTGCCTTGGGGCCCCGCGCATAGTGCGCGCGACCTGGTGGCACACAACAAGACCCGATGCCGTTGTGCGTCAGTGTCGCCGCGGGCCCCGCACCACTGCGCGTCCCCCGTCCCAACCCCTGACAGCTTCTCACAGACCCGCGCTTGCGCCGAGTCGCCGGGGCAGGGATGCCCAGCCCCAGCCTGGCGGGGTGGGAGGGTGGCGTCTGGCAAGGGTCCGAGTTGGGCAGAGCCTCTGCCGGCTCCCACCTCCTGGCCCCCAAGCGGATTTGGGGGTCCCAGGTGCGGCCTGATGCGCTGGGAAATCGGCCACCCCGGCAGCCCCAGAGGCGGAAAACCCGCTGCGAGCTTTGGTTGGCAGGGTCCCAGCGTCGTGTAAACTTTGTTTAAAGGACCTTGAGATTGCCCCTGCCCTGGGGTGAACTGTCAAGAGGATCGGCAGCTTTTCTGAAGAAAAGTTGACCGGGAGGAGACTTTTTTCGAGTCGTGTGTGCACGGGGCACACGTCCTCGCTCAGCGGGAGATTCCGGCTCTGTAGGATTTTTTACTCTTTCCCAATAGCGTGCTGAAAGGGGCAGGGTTGTTATTTCCCAAAGCATTTTCAAGTGCATTTTGGCAGATTTTACAAGGAAGTCTTGCCTTGAGAAATTTGGCAGTGCTGGTCTGATAAGAATTTTCTTAAGACGTCCCCCGCCCCCTTCCACGTCCGCCACGTCCCCCGCCCCCTTCCAAGGCCGCTAAGAAGATTCCCAAATGTTTTCTCCTGACCGGGTCTGAGTTTGGACAAAAGTGCAGGTTCTTTTTAACTTTAACGATGAAATGCAATGGCACAAAGGTCACTGAAATTCCCAAGTAGGCGGTTCCAAGGAACAGGAAGTAAATTCAAGGAAGTTAACGCCCTGATAGATCAAATAGCATTAGAAGTTTGTTGTTACACAAGTAGGTAGCGTCTGTCTGCTGTTTTAAACCAGGACATTCTATTTTTTTTTCTCCTCTGATTGGAGCATGATTTTTTTTCGTTTATTCATATGTGCATACAATGTTTGGGTCATTTCTCCCCCCTTCTCCCCAGCCCTTCCCTCTCCCCCTTCCTTCTCCCCCCTACTCCCTCGCTTCCAGACAGAAACTGTTCTGCTCTTTAATTTTGTTGAAGAGAGAGTAGAAACAATAATAAGAAAGACAAAGCATTTTTGGTAGTTGAGATAAGGATAGCTATACAGAGAGATTCCTAGCATTGCTTCCTTGTACAAATGTGTTACATTCTAAGTTGATTCTTCTCAGACTGACCTTTTCTCTAGTTCCTGATCCCCTTCTCATATTGGCCTCTGTCGCTTTAAAGTTTCTGCATTAGTTAAGCCAGGACATTCTAAAACCAAAGACCACACTCTGGAAGAAATTTTAGATGAAGAGAGTGAAAATTTTGGTGTATTTTGGTATTTCTTTTATGTGCGTTTTGGTATTTTTTCCTTTGGTGGTTACAAGTTTCGTTGACACTCCCCCCAAAAATTTGGCTTTTTTTTTTTTTTTAAAGAAAAAGCAGTTTTATTAGTACATTTAAAATAACAGTATGCTAACTTGAGCAGCTAGGTTGTGTAAGGTCTGAACATTCTTTTTAATGTTATTTAACCGCTAAGACGTGATTGCTGCAGAGGAAAAGAAAAAGTTTGCTTTCTTACTGGATAAGAAGCACAGATACACAGAATGCACACCTTTTGAGTTGACAGGGGCTATAATTAACATTAAAGGTCTGCTTCTCGGTACTTCTCTGTTTATCTTGGTTACTCTATTAAATACTAAACGCCAATAAATATTTTTGAACAGATACCCACCATTTATATGTACCTGTTTTTTCTTCAGACCTCTTAACTGCAGCCTCGACTTGAGCAAAGACATGACTCGGTTTTCCTGGGAGAGAATTTTGAATGTCTTCCAAGCGGGAAGTTTGTTTTTCCTGTGTTGTTTTACTGGAATGTCCTGGTTCAAGTGGCCTTTTTAGAGACTTTATGTTGCACATTCCTTTGGAAACTGGCCCTTGCACTTCCTTTAGCACTATTACTTGCTGCCTTAAACCCGTTTCCAAGGTACATTCATCTGCGGATCCGCAGGGACGCTGAGTACCCTTCCCCAGTTTAACCTGAGGGTCTCGCGCGACAGGTGTGGCGTAGGGGACTGATTGGTGGCAGTTTTTTGAGAGTTGGCAGAGGGCCTGAAACAGAAGTTGGTTTGGACCCCGGGGCGTCCCAGGTCCCACCGCCACACAATCTTGGATGATCTCCAAGATCCCGGCCCTCCTCCCGCGCCCTTTGGTCACAGGGACATTTAAACCTCTCGAGAGACGTGTCTGGCCACGTGAGAATTTCCAAGGCGCTGGGAAGGAGATTCCCCACACCTCATTCATGTACCCGGACGCCCTGCTTGGCGGGTCACCTGGCGGGTGGAGGGGACGCCCCGGGGCGCTGCAGGCCGCAGGCCCGGGAGGTCACCTATTGATGCGGCGATCTCCCCCAATTGCTTGTTGAGTCGGAAACATTTCCAAAGCCGTTTTCTCCAGGACGGGTGACGTTCCGGGCCACTATCCAGTGAGAGCAGCCGGCGGCCGCCCGGCGTGAGTACACCAAGAAACCCTGCCAACCTCTCTTCTTCCGATCTTTTTCCCCAGGCTTGCAGGGGGCACGTTGGGGGCACTGCCCCCAGACCCCTGCAAAAAATGATTGAGCCTCCCACTTTCTGCCCTTGGTGAGCCTTCTGGGGACTAACCTACAGCACTCCAAGGCGTGTCGCTCCAGGAAGGTACTTCATTCAAACACTGGAGCTCCCTAGAGTCTGGTTATTTCTTTCTTGAAGAGCCCCAAAGGCTAATTAAACTCGTATTTACAGACTCGAATGCTTCCTTGACTTTAATTCAATGTTATCCTACCAGTACTACTTGAGCTCCTGTGGGCCAGGCACAGTATTTATGGGAGACCAAGCAAGTTACCTAACACAGGCAAGGTCCATCGATAGCCTGATCCAGGAGAAAGCCAGCCCGGCCAGCCAGGGAGGTAATGACCGTCCTGAAGCCAGCCTGTACTCAACGCGCATTCTCGCTTCACCTAATCGTGAGGCAAAAAGACTCTGTGATTGCTGTGATGCCCTGGCTCACCTGTCTATTTCACTCCCCTGGGAATACTTCACACCGTACCTCCACGACTGTCCTTTCACAAGCTGTCTTTGTGCTTACCACCAGACTGCATTTAACACCTTGTATAAAAACACCTCTTCAAAAACTTTTCAGTCAATTTGGAATATAATTACCTGCAAAATAAAGAAGGAAAGGTGCCCTGCCCCCGTCCCCAGTGCATTCCTTAGAGATAACCAAAGGTTGCAGATTAGGGTCTTTTAGACATTTGTGCATTCAAATACAGTCTAATACACCTAAAAAGGTTTTTTAAAAAAATATATGGCTAAGCCAGACATTGGTAGGTCACACCTGTAATTCTAGCTACTTGGGAGGTTGAGATTGGGAAGATCAAGGTTCAAGGCCAGCCTGGGCAAATAGTTCACTAGACTCCCCCATCTCCAAAATAACCGGACCAAAATGAACTGGTTTAAGTGGTAGAGCACCGGCTTTGCAAGCATAAAGTTCTGAGTGCAAATCCCAGTACCTCAAAAAAAAAAGTGTTTTCCTTCCCCTTTCCCTTCATTTTGTATGATGCTGTTTTTCCAAATTGTATTTCAGAGCTGGTGTTTGTTCTGTTAATCCCTCTGTTTTCCCACGTGTAACTGCCCTTGCCCTTGGCATCATCGATATATATGTATATATAAATCTTGTATAGATACTGAGTGCTTTTTCTCCCTCTTGAATTCTTGGTTTAGGGAAATTATTTCTTCTTTGCCGCCATGCATTATTTTATTTATTTATTTATTTTTGGCGGCACTGGGGTTTGAACTCAGGGCCTTGTCCCATGCATTATTTGAAAGAAAAAGACTATATATGGCATACATATGTAGCTGTACATGCGTTTCTGAATCTTTTTTTTCCAATGGGACCAATAACTGCTTTGTTTGTTGTTTATTTATTTATTTGTGGTACTGGGCTTTGAACTCAGGGCCTCGAGCTTGCTAAGCTGGCGCCACTTAAGCTATAGTTGGTCCTATTGTTTTCATTAGTATATATTAATTATGCGAAGCGAGGGGTGTCAATGTGATTTTTTCCATGCATGCATATGCTAAACTTTGATCATATTCACCCCCCATTACTCTTTTTTGTGCCCCCCCCAGTCCCTCTTGAATCTTTTCTTTCCAGATAAAATTACTTCCTTTCCTACCCTTTGTTTGGTGTTCTGTGTTTATGGCTCCCCTTCTAAACACTTTGTATTTGGCTTTGTAAGTTTTAGGCCAAAAACAAGCAGCTTCTTCATTATTTGCTTTTTTTTTTTTTTTGAATCAGGCCTCACTCTGTATCCTGGAATTTGTAATCTTCCTGCCTCAGCTTCCTAAATCTGTGATTACAGGCATGTACCACCACACCCACCTCTCATTCTTGATACAGGATTGTCGTCTTGGGTAATTTAGTACTTACAAAAGAGCTCAGTTGCACCAATTTGATAGCATATTCAAGATTGTGTCTTCTTTAGTGAAATCAAAAATTGAATTCATATATCTATACATACCTTAGTTTTTCAATGTACCTGAAAATTGCTCTTGTAGCTACTTGCTCCCAGATTTAACATGTTTCCCAGGATAATGACTTTCAATTATCTGGGTTTATAAATTGGAACCAGAGCTTCCTTATCTACCTGTAAAATCTTGTGTTTGTTTTGTTTACTTCCTGTGGTTTTTCTTTGATTTTTTTTTTCTTTTTTTGGCAGCACTGGGGGTTGAACATATAGCTTAATGCTTACACAGATGCTCTACCACTTGAGCCACTCCTCCAGCTATTTTTGCTTTGGTTATTTTTGAGATAGGGTCTCACTTTATGCCTGGATCAGCCTGGACTACTATCCTCC